AACCACCCTTAAAAGAACTTCCTCCTTGTGTTCCTATGACAGGCCGTAAGCTGGAGATGCCCTAGCATCCATGTGAAGAAGTGAATTCCTTTTCTCCAACAAGCGTTAGGCAATTTCCTAAGTCTGGCCCAACGCTTTCACTATAAATTGAGGTAAACTCAGCAATTATGGAGCAAGAGATTTCTAAAAACTCAACTTTTCTTCGCATATACTACGTATGTATGGTACCAATTCCATTATAATTCTCCAACTCGCCCTATGCGGGCTAGGATGACCATAGTTCATAATAAATTAAGCATATAGACCTAAGTCATCACATGACTGGAGGTCCTGTCGACAGGCCTATGCAGCTAAAAACAGCCAGACTTCACCTTTAGTTACGAGGGTGTGAACATGCCACTCTCATGATGGGCACTCGCCTGGCTCAGTCTCACCAGTCCACTTGTTGCCAACGCCATATTGGCTGCTAGAGTCGGCTTCAAAAAGTTCATGATACGCCTATGCACATGGGAGGCTTAGTGACCCGTCGTCAAGGCGTGAGTTGATGTTACTCCATTCGGAGAGTTGAAGCGCGCAATGAGGGTCAAAGGGACAAAGCCTAGGCATCTTCTTTCAACATATTTTGTATGACTTCAGCCCTACACGTCCTGGTGCGAGCCTCGGACCTCTCGACATGCCCCCCTCCCCCCACAGCGCCACTTTCTCCACCCGCTACTCCCCCACGGGAAATAGCGTCGCCTATGCTATAACTGGCTCCACTTGATGAGCTTCGCTGTGGATCGGACACTCATTCTGTCTTCGTAACACGCCGGCTCAGGCCAAGTTACAACATGTATGAGCTCAGGCCAACTGATGGCACGGCCAAAAAGCGACCTAACAATTGGAGATGACACCGGTCGTGAATTCCGGTCCACATGTCACTTCTCCACATGTACCAGCCTCACTTCCCACGGCTTTGGGGCGTCACGCTTTGGACTCGTGTCGAACTGAAATGTGTCATAACGGCTGCACAGCGCATGAGATGCTGTCGCTCGAATGCTCGTGACGACCCAAGATTGCGCTCTACCTGTACAAACACTTGTCTTAGCACCGAGGGTCAGTCTGACACAGATTATGATGTTGTTTGCCTACACGCCTATATTTTGGTATTTATTTACCTCCACCTAATACTGCACACCGACTCATTTGCTGCGTCTGCTCTGACTTGGCCATTTGTGACGTTATCTCGTTCAGCGAGATTTCGTTCCTCCATGAACTGCGTTAACTTGACATATTTCCATCCAGCTTCGGCCATGATGCTTGGATTGATGAATCCACACTTTCTTTGCTCTCGTCTACACTCTTTAGCTTACTCACAGCTTGCCAGTTCCTTTTGTGGCGCCAGGCCTGTAGTAACCAAGCTGATGCCTCTGCACCGCTATCATTGGTCCCATTCATTTTTTCTTATTTTGCGTCTATGCTTCGGCGTGTAGATGTTGGCTTTTTTGGTGACTCTCTTCGACTCAGTGAGGAGCATCTTTGTGTGCACAGTTAACCTGATCGATGAGATGATGCAGAAGAATCACTCCTAAGAGTTTGCATCTTGGCCTTCAACCCTCCAACAGCCTTGGGTCATTTCTGTTTTATACGCAATGGTCCCTCCGGCAACTGATTTTGAGAGAGGATATCGCTTACTTGCAAAGTCAAATCTTGATGGGACTTGAGCCGTAATACAGCTAATGGCCCGCCCTAGGACCGAAACGATTATCACATATGCTTATGTACCGACCACAAAAGGTGGGTTGCAACCGTTTGCCCATTCTAAGTGAACATGCAAGTCGTCCCTTTTGACAAATTAGGTGGAGTTCTTTGTCAATCGAGTTGTGGATGTTAGGGGAGAATGGAGTCAGCACAACTTCGAGAAGCTGAGCCTATATTAGCCTAAATCGAGTACTTTTTCAAACAGAGTTTGCTACCCATTCCTCGCCTCTCCTAATCGTTCCAGGTAGGAGGCAGGAATCCGGTCCTCATTTGCCCTGACGCTTTCTGCATAAGCTAATGAATCACTGGTAGTTGAATTTTCTTACAAGAATAAGTAGTCCTCACGATAAGATTGAATTTCATCTACCCTGTGTCTGTAAAAATGGGTTTTGATCCAGACTGGACTGCAGTTTTGCTTTCTTCTAGGCCTAATCAGGACCTTCATTGTGATTCGGAACCGGGTCGTGTCGACATTTCACACTGTTAATCACATTCATGAGGCGATTGCCGAGGAGACAAACGTGCTGTCATTACAAGTGATGACGTCGCATATATTCCGTGTAACGTTATCTCGAAATTTTAAGCAAATCCCCATTAAGAACCACGTTATCCCAGGCCAGTTATGGTGC